GCTTGCCCCGGAGCACCGCAAAGGAGCCAGCTTCCAGCTGTATAACAAGGCCAGCTAACAAGGGCTGCATGTAAGATGTGCTGGCCGTGGTCACATCGAGGGACTTGCACTCATCTTTCATGAATGACATTTATTTAGGTTCTATAATTTCCCCTCAACTGTTATTTTCCTTAGAACTGTAAAAATTCCACTCACTCATGAGATGGCAAGTGTGCTGTATACTTAATGCTTATTAGCGTAGGGTGTGGGTAGATTAACCATTTAGGACCAGTCTGAACGCTCTGGTGATTTAGGTGTATAGGAATGCAGACGAAGCCACTGCACTGCTGGGCTTTAGAGCTGACTGGGCGTGAGCGAGAGCCAGTGGAGGGAGAAATTCAGGTCCCCCATAGCAGGACTGATCAGTACTCTCTGCCCCCAGACCCATCCATCCTTCGTGCTTCTGCTGCTCTGATTTGCATCATAAGGGCTGACTAACCTCCCAGGCTGTCCCCAGGCTCGTTTCAGGGGCCTCTAGCTGCCTTTGGCTAATCAGAGATTGGAGGGTGGGAAGAGCGGAGAAGCTAAGTTAGGGCTGGTCTTCCTTCTCTGGCGGTGGCTTCTTCTCTCTCGTGGCTCCAGCTTCCATTGGACAAGCCCAACATGATTCCAGCTTTGACTGGTCACCTGTCTCTCTTCGGTTAAGGACGGTGGTAGCCGCTTCCAGCTATGGACAGTTTTGGGTTGCTTCATTGTCGCCTGCTGAGCTTCTAGGTTTTATACTCAATTTCCTATGTTAAATTCCTTCTGTTTGAAACACTCAGTGGTTTCTGTCTCCTAATCAGATCCTGAATGATACATGGAATGATAGAGATCCTTAACTTTACATGAAAGCCCCTACTTCTATAATAATAATTTTTAAAAAGCTAATATGTAGAGAGAGAGCACTTTATCAGGTAAAAGTACTTAGTAAGTCACTAAGCAGAGGATAGTTTCAGCTTTTGCAGCAGCTGTGCTACATCCCTCAGGGGTACCAGCTGCCCGGGACTCCTTGGTAGTCTGAATACTGTGTACTTGGTGCTCCAACCCGAAGTCGGAGAACCAACTGTGCACCCTGAAATGTGGATGGGACTTCCCCCAAGCTCTAGCTTCTAGGACCTCCCCTAGAGACACCTCTTCTCTTTTGGGTTCCAGCCCTAGGGGTGGTAGCTTCTTTCAGTAATCACCTGGTTTACCTCAGCATCCTGGCTTCCCGCATCTAGGTAACCAATCTCCTGTATTCAGTCTCCTCTTGTTGAAATGTCTAGCACGGTCTATGTTACTCTGATTGGACCTTGGCTGACACATAGGTTCTTCTACCTTAATTTCAGTAAGTTTATGAGCTCTTATCATTTATATCACTACTTTTCATTTCCTTCTTTTTGCTCGTTTTTAGAAAATAATAACAAGTATGATGTCAAATAATTGCATAAATACTATTTACAAACATAGCAACACCAAATTTTTGACTGGCAGGCAATGACTATGGGATACTTTGAAATTCATCAGCAACTGATGCATGAGAGATAGAACCATTTGTATATTTGCATCTTCTAATAAACGGGAATGAAATTTACCTGTGGACAGGCACTGGCCCAGGAGTGAGCATTCCTAGAACGGACCTGCTCCCCTGCCAAACTGCTCCTTCTCTCCAATAGCCATCTGTTGAGCCCACTATAACTTCCAGAAACCTGGCTGGGCCTCCAAATGGAACCCTGCTGGGTTGAGTTTGACCTCAGCAGCAGTGCCATTCTGCCAGGAACCTTCAGGATGTTAACAGGTGTGGCAAGACTTCTGTCCTGCCAGATGCCAGCCGGTGGTGCGTAAAGGAGCCCCTGACCCTACCTGGCGAGTGGCCTGGGTTCCCGGGGACGCTTTCTTCCAGGATGGATAAAGGAGAGGGGGAGGGAAAGGGGGACAGAGGGGTTAGAAAAATATATCCACCAGACATCAAGAGTGATTCCTCTAAAGTGAACGTCTACCGCGGAACGCTGCTTAACCTCCCTGAGCATCAGTTTCCCCATCTGTCCAAGGCGCAGAGTGAGGAGGTGCCGTCCCCACCCCATCGTCCCAAAGGACAGAGTACGCGCGTAAAAGGCCAGTAGTTCCTGGAGCTTAACAAGTGTTGGCGCCTATTACTAAACCGCGTTTCTTAATCATTTGGGTCCTGGGCCCCAGGGAGAACCTGATGATACCTATGGTTCTCCGCCCCCTCCCCCCCAAAAAGTCACCTCCCCAAATAGTTTCCTGAAGGTGCCAGGGTTTGACAACCCTTGAAGGCGGTCCCTGGACCCATGTGAAGGCGCGCGCCTCTACAGTGTTCATTTAGGCGGCAGCAGCTCCACTTGGGTCCCCAAAATCTCCCCTCCAGGCGCCCCGACGGCCACCTCGCCCGCCTCC